CGTTGCGTCGTCGTGGGCGCGCAACCTTCCATCTCGTGGTTCGCGCAGCGTAGAAGGCCTGTAGAGCGCGTGGACCACCTGGTGGACAACCCAAGGCAAGCATCAAGCTGTCACCAATCTCGCGCCCAAGTAGATCGAACAACTTTTTTTGCTTGTCTGCCGTGCAGTCTGACGTGGAGGAACCTGTCACATGGGCGTGCTCAATCTGGAGGTTCAGCTCCCAGGCGATAGCTGGATAATAATATCCCTGTCGCGCTCCAGCTGCACCTTGGTGCGGCCGCTCCTCTCTCTAGTCTGGCATCTGCCGGAATCGGTCTCCTGAAAGTGCAATATAGAGCGGGTTCAAGTTGGTAGTGGGCCGTGTCTGATCGACTGTGGCCAGCCAAACTTCATCTGGTTCAACTTCTGCTGCGTGGTCGGCTGCAGGATCCCATTTCGGAAGACAACTGGTAATGCCTGAGGTCATCGCGCCAGGCCGCCCCAACCGCTGACCCTCCGCAGCCTTGAGAAGAAGTGCGGGCACACTGCGCATGCACATGGGCAAATAGCGCAACTCAACAAACCGCCAGCCGTCGGCAACAACTGCACGCGTCTTGCCCCTCTTTCGAAACTGCGTCATAAGACGCTCGCCCGTTATGTCAGAGATGCCACGCTGGTGCTTGGTAGTGTACTTGCGGAAACGCCCCTGGGAGCTCCACCACTAGTGCAGCTTCTCTTTGTTGAAGATGGTTCTCCAGAAGTGGTCGACCCAATATATCGTGCCAGTCCTTTGCGCGATGATCGCGTCCTTTTGATATGCCCGGGCAGCATGGGGAACTTGATGCTCTCGTTGCTAAATCCAATTGCACATGTCACGGCGGCCTTCGTCTCGTAGCGCGTAACGTAGACGGCGACGCCATTCCTCGATGCGAGTTTGCCTTCTTTCTTTCGCAATGGCCTCGTGCCGCGCCTCCAGCTGCTGTCGCCAGCCATTGGTCGGCTCCAGCGGTGACGGTGTAGATGTGAGCGCGTGCTGTGGTAGCTGTAATACACTCTTGAACTGCGGCCGAAGCTCGCCCCATAACGGGTTGGGAACTAACGGCTGCCGCAAGGGAAGACGTGGTGGATGTCCACCCGAGGTGGGGAGATGCTATCGTTGAAGCTGTTTGCCCAACTTCACCAGCCTGCCCGACATGTTCTCGAACTGGCGGAGCTTCTGGGTGGTCGGGCCTTCTCGGCGCCTGTCGTGCTTGAAAGTGGGAGCTGTGGTGTGCTGGTCCAATGTCGGCATCGGGCTCCTCCCGCGGTAGCGGTGATCGAACTTGATGTCGGTGTGCTGCAGGCGCTGCTCGACGCAGTCTTTCCCCGTTCTACCCGCGAGGGCCCAGGCGTCGTCGGCGCGTTCGTCGATAAGAGCAAGTTCGAAGTCATCGTAGTATTTGTCAGCGCTGATCTGGCCGAGGCCTTCGACATCTTCAGGTGGGGTCTTCTTGATCGCGCCCGTGGGGTGCGCCGCGGGAAGTCGTCGCCTTTGCCTGGTATCCTCGAGCATGGCGGCATTGATCGCCAGCTCAAGTCCCAAACGAGATTCCACACCCAGATCACGTCGTAGGCGGAAAGAGTGAATTGCGTCTCGTGCTGGGGCGCTAGCTATGAGGAGGTCGGGTCGACAAACGTGCTGCCCGCCAGAAAAATTTACCACTTGGGGTCCAGCCCATCGGTGGGTTCAGATCCACACGTTGCTCCAACACATGCCAGCGCCGACGACTGTGATATTATCGCGTCGGAGTCTACGCAACTGAAGTTGGGTTGATCTCCGAGCACTTCAGCATCTTCAGAAACAAACTGAACAAATCGTGCATTCCGTGCTCTGATCAAAGACTTTTGACCTGGCTCAATGAACATGGATATGATGTGTGTCGGAGTCGCCCCTGCCATGGCCATCCGGCGCGCCAGCGCGAAGTGGTATGGGGCTCTCTGGCAGCGCCAAACTCGCGGCCCCCCTCAACTCTAGGAGGAGAAGATTTAGTCAACATATGAACACCATCCTGGGCATTCCTGCGCCACTTGCCTCCATGACAATGCTGGGCGCGCGCAGGATGCCCGCAGCAGGGCGCGCACATGTGAGCAGCGCGTACTTTGGCACAGTTCAACTGCTCCTTGATATTGAGCAGCGCCTCCTGCAGGGCGAGACTGCCCGCGTCGAGACCTGGCGACCTGCCCGACGCAGAATTCCAACCTGTAACATTGGCTGATCGTAGTTTGACCAAAACTGAGGGCGTCGGAGTCAGAGCAGGCGCCTGCTTAGTGCGCATGCGGTGAGCCGTCGTCATTTGCCCTGACCCTCATCAGCTTGCATATTCGCAGATTCCATCAACCTCTTGGCCAAACGCTGCAACTCATCATCATCAGCCTGCTCCACCTGAGTAAGAGAGTCACCTGGGACTTGCTTCAATATCTGGAAACACTTCGCAAGCCCCTGCCCCTGCAGCTGGAGCTGCTGAAATATGATCTGATTCTGAAGCGCCGCTGCCGTGCCAATCGCATCCGCGAGGAACTTCTGGAAGTCGGATGAGACACCTCCCCCCGCTCCCTGAGGAGGCTGAGGTGATGGCTGCGGCTTCGCTGATGCTGGTGCTGGCTGGGTAATTGATGCTGCCCGCCCAGGTCGTGTGAGTTGTGCCGTGGGTGCTGTGACCCTTGATGCCGGTGGCGGCGTCGGTCTCTCAGGCTATGGTTTCTCGTGCTTCGTGACCGTGCCGACCCAGATGCAGGCGTCGGCAGTAGTCGTATCTGGCTTCGATTTGACAGCGTTGATCGCGGCCTGCACGCCGTCCATGACAATGTCTGTAGCAACGGGAGAGCCAGCAGCACGCGCGCAGAGAGCCGGTGTAGATTTATTACTGCATTTGCCTTCGTGCGTCAACTCACGAACTCTGCTTCCCACCCCACTTGCGTCTTCAAGTCCTGGACCAGCTGCTTGCCCTCGATCATCTTCGGCAAAGGCGCGATCTCGTGCAGAGTCGGAGCAGGCGGCGCTCTACTCTGGAGAGCTTGCCAGGCAGCTGGTGCGTGTGGTTTTGCAACTCTGAGCGGTCATGCTCCATTCTGTCGGCGCCCTGGACCTCGCCCACCCTCGAGAGGACTGACAAGCTGAAGGGCATCCTTGATGTCCGTCCCCTTCGAGAATGACACGAAATCCTCCTCGTCCTTCCCACGGTCCAGAGCAGCGTTGGAGAGGCTTCCCGCCGCGGACCTTTGAACAAGAACTCCGTCTGGCCCAGACTCAGCACGCAATGGTTCAGCACGTCTCGACGACACTTTGACCTGGTGCATCTTCATTGACTACTCGTCCCCCCCAACATCGCACATCAACATCAAGTCCTCCTTGGGCAATCGGCAACTTAGCACGGATGACTCGTGACATCTCCATGTCGCGGACCCTCCACGGTGGTGGAGATTCGTACCTGCGTGGGCCTGTCTGTTCAGTGCGCTTGTCGCGTGCAACGGCTGCTTGGCGGTGCAACTTATGGAAATGTTAGAACAGCTTCTCGGGCGCATGTGCTTCCAAAGCCGCGGCGTTCATTAGCTCATCCTGCGGGGATGTGATCGTAGTGGGCTCTTGCTTCGGCTGGATAACCCTCTGCTCGCGCCCACTGTACTGCCACGCACATGTACAGCTGGTTGATATGTCTGGTACCATCAGGATCCACCAACGGTACATTCATCATCGTGATCAACGTGGAGAGTCCACGCGGGGCGCATCGCAAGTACAGCTCCTTCGGGATCTGCGCAGGAACTTGCGCCAGAAGAGAGCCGAATGGGATCCTCAGGGTCGGGCCTCTGCCAGACACCGTCGAGCTTCATAAGCTCCAAGGTGGACCGCCCTCGCGTGACAGGAATATCCCAATCATCTGGGTCGGGCTTGGACAAGTGCTGCCACCCCGTCTTCTCGACATCTTTCTGTCTTCTTGTTCGTCGTCTTTTTATTTGACTTGGCTGGCTTGGGATGAAATGTCGCTGCCTGACTTCGCTGCCTGACTTCGCAACTGAAGTCTTTTTCATCATAGGCTGCTCCTCCAACCAGGCCGTGACTGCTGAATGTATGTCCCCGACAGGCAGCGCAGCGATCTTCGCCATGCGCTCTGTAGAATACTTCCGTAGATGGTCATAGACACTTTGAGGGGTATTCTCCTTGGCGAGCTCCAAGGCTGCACACAGTCTCGACTGCTGCTTCGCTGGCGTCAATTTAGCCAACGCGCTCTTGATTGTCACCTTCTTGGGCCCATTCCCATGACGGATATGTTGCAATCGATTCCAACCACTGTGACAGAATGACCAAACATATGACACTGCAAGTTTCACGGAACAACTCACAGGAAGCCCATGGTACATATTCAAGAGACTACCATCCACTAAGAAAATACGACACCACGCACTCTCATCATACAAATGCTGATTGGAAACAATAATCATACCCGAACCCATAAACCTGTCAAACTTAATATATAGATCTTCGCATCTGTCGTCGCAAATCCAGATGGCACCACGACCGAGGGTACCCAATGGAGAGTACTCAGAAGGTTGATCCCGAAGAGGTGCTTCATCACCTTCAACTCGTGGCCATAATCAACTTGCTCTCTGCTACGCTGCAGCGCAGGCGCGGTGGGGGGCAGCAAGCAGCGCCTTCTCATCCACAGCGGCACCGCACGTTCTTGGGGCGATTCGGAGTCGATGCATCTCCCCCTTAGTCTATCCCCCGCTAACACTGCCTCCTGGCTTTCGGGTAAGAACTCAGCTCTCCAGCGGCCGGTCGGGACGATCTGGCCACCCCCTGGACGCCTCTCGGCGAGGCGCAGCTGCTGGAACGCATCCCGAGGCTGGAAAACCGCCCAGCCCGACAAAAACGACCGACACGCCTCGAAGCATCGATCCCCCCTGAGCCCCTCCCCCCCTGGCGCTTTCCCCCCCCGAGCCCTGCTGCAGCACGCGCGCCAGCTCCCAGCAGCGGGCCGCGGCGCCTCGGCCAGCTGGCCCTGGAGCGCCAGCAGCTGCGCCTGGAGCTCCTCGCGGCAAGGGCCCCCCCCCCCGTCCCCCGCACGCCGCCGCGGGCTCCTGCTGCTCCCGCTGCCGCGTCGCCGCTGTCGCCGCCGTCCGCCGTGGCTGCGCTCGTTCGTCCGCCGTCCTCGTTCTTGCCGTCTCCGCTCGTCGTACGTTCGTCGTGTCGGTGGCTGCTGGCGCTACCTGCCTGGACCTCGCGCCCGGTTCGGAGGCGCGCGCGCTCGAGGCCGACCTGGGGTCCTGGAGTCTCCCACTCGGGTCGGACGCAAGGGAAGGGGGGGTGTAGCAGTAGAGGGGGATCAGCGAATCGGCTCACGCGTGCTGGCCCTTCGGCGCCTTCCGGCGTGAGGCGCCCGTGCATCGAAGAAAACGCCTTGCGGCGGGGCCGAAAACGGCGACATGCAGCAGGTTCTGTAATGCCCCCCTTTTCCCAATGCTCCCCTTTCGTCCGACCCGAATCCTGCTGCCCCCACCCCTCCCACCTCCTCAAAGCGAAGGCAGGATAGACAGAAGTCGGGTGCGAACGAATAGGGAGCCTCTGGGAACCAACGGGCCGGTGGCATTGTAAGGAACGCTATGCCCGTCCGAGGATGTTCTCGGAGGCTTGGAAATGGGCATCAACGCCAGCACAAGGGTTGGGGAAGATGATCCAAGATTTCGGTGTTGGTGGTCATCTTTCGGTCACCCAGAAGGCCCGATCCTTACCACCATCATCGAGCTCGAGATCAGCTTCCCTCGGTGCAGACACACACACACACACCGCCGATATTGGTGCTGGTGCCAACCTCTAGGCTTCCGATATTCCGCGAACTCTGCGAAAAGTCTGGAGCGAACTGTTCGCAGCTGTCCTGAACCCGACTGGCGCCCCGCTCCCCTCCGCCGCGATTGGCCAGCACGGCTCTCGCTGAGCCCCTGCGCCCCACGGCGCGCCGCCCCTTGTCCGCCTATCCTCGCGCTGTCTGTGCCAGCGAATCCTTGACGCGAGACCTCATCGACCACGCCTGTCGCTGCGAACCCTGTCTGGGCATGGCTGGGCCCAGGAGGAGGAGGAGGGCTACCGCAAGAGGCAGGGAAACACACAACGACACAAACATAAAACCTCGGAGGCCCGCGCGGATTTCTCGGATCGGTGCTCGACGCCCTCGTTCTGCCAAGCATGCCTGCCTTGGGCACTGGAGGATCCCCCGACGACTCTTTGGGTCAAATCCGACACGTGAGGATCAACAATCACAATCAGAACCTCGGCGAAGTCTCCGACCTGGCAATTCATCAATTTCCGTTTTCTGGGGTTACGCTCAGCGGGCAGCCATTCTCGTGTCCTTGAGGTTGTAGACCGTAGGCGGCCTTGGCAATGGCACTCTCTTCCAGAAATTTCGCCATGGAGAAGCGCTTGTTGCAAGGGCAAGCGAAGGCGATGTTACCGCCTTCGCTCAAATGAGTAACCCAGAGAAACGTTCACAACTTCTTGCTCGGTGGCTAAGGTCACGCCGCTGGCATCGATGCTGCAGATGTTGCTGTTGTGCGCCTATGCCGCTGCCTTAAGGAACTTCAAGCCGCGATGAACTCTCGGGGGCGGCCAAGAGGGGGGCGTCCAAGAGGGGGGAATGCAAATCATCATGGCTGGCGGCATGTGCGCGGCCCAGGGGGGGGGGCAGGGACGTCATGAAATAAGAAGAGGCGCCATGAAATCTGTGGAAATATCATGGCCCATGCATGAGATTCCCCCCCCCCCCTAGTCATCCCCCCCCCCTCTTTGCCGCCCCCGAAACTTGCGCATCGCGCCCGTCACATGCGCGACGCCCGGTGTTCTTCGCGCCCTCGCGCCGCCGCCCCTCCGGCCCAAAGACGCGGTGCGCGAAGCGCAGCCCTCCTCCGCGCCCCCTCTCGGCTGACCTCTAGAGCGGTGCCGGGAAAACGCCCCCTCCGCAGAGGCGCGCGGCCCCGCGGCGAGCCTCTCCGCGGCACCGCCGGCCTCCTCGGCCAGCGGCGAGGGCAGGAAGGCCGCAGCAGCGAGGCCACACCGTGCGGCACGGCGCGCCCGCGCGCGGGCCCTGGTGCAGGAACGCTCCCGCAGAGGAACGGCGGGCTCGTGTCGCCGCGACTCGCGCGGTGGTCTCGGACACCGCGCTGCCTGGAACGATCGCGGCGTTCGGAGCACGAAGGAACGTTCGATGTCGGTCGATTCCGGGCTGCTGGCGCTCAACCTTTCATTCCTGCGCCAGGGTCGCCGCCGCGTCCACGCGGCTCGAACCTGATGCATGCCCCTGCCGCGGACGCTCCCCGCACGACCACCGCAAACTCTTGAGAGCACGCGGCGGCCGAGAAAGATTTCGACGTTGCTGGGCCGCTGCTAGCCCGTTGACGGGGCTGTCTCCCAAGAACATCTGTCTTCAAACAAATAACATCCCGAGTAGGAGGACCAGCACCGGGACAAGCAGGACCGCGAAGAGAACCGCAGGGGAGCAGGAGAAGGAAGCAGGAGGATTGACGCGACTGTGGTCTGTGGTGGCTGCCTGGCCGCCGCGAGGCGCGAGGGCGTCACCAACGGCCACCAAAGCTGGGCAAACTGTGCGCCTCAGGCAGGAGGTGCCTCTAACGACCGGGGAGAACGTGCTAAGACCCACTCGTGGGACGTGGGCGGTGGCTGCGACTGGCTTCTCGCACTGCGCGGAGGTGCGAGGCCAACCTCGCAGGAACCGCTAACACACTCACACACACACACATCCGACCTCCCACCTGACTGAAAATCGGCACAATAAGAGAAAGCCCCCCACAGCGTCATAATCCTTCCAAGACGCATCCCCACCACCACATCCCTCCTCCCTTCTCCCTCCCTCCCTCCCTCCCTCCCTCCATCCTCTTCGTGGAGGAAGACGAGGGAGCCTCAATGTCTAGGGGTTCCTGATAGGGCTGGCGGGCGTCAACATGGCCTGGGCTGGCACAAGCGGCAGCGGCGGCTCCTCCACGCGGGAGATGGTGTTGTCGGAGGCTTCGTCGCCTCGCCTCAAGGGGAGGGGGGGGGAGGGGGGTGGACGACTTTCTCCCTTCCCACCTTCCCCTCCCCCGTCCTCCTCAGCCTGTTCCTGCCCCTGCGCGCCTTCCAACTCCATCCCCCCCATCCTTTCCAAGAGGAGTGGGATGAGAAGGGAAACGGGAGGGAGGGAGGAACAGTGAGGAAGGGAAAGGAGGGGAGGAAGGGAGGGCTGGAGCAGGAAGGTATGGAGGGAGCAGGATGGACGGATAGATCGATGGATGGATGGGTGGATGGAAACACCCCCAACTGACTGGGCAAGCATTTTGAAACCTCGGGCCAACTTCGGCAATGAATGGGCAATGGAGCCGGAGCCGGCAACCGACGGCGATCTCCGCAATGCCCCTCCACGGATATCTGGGCGCTTCCAGAGCATAGTTGCGGAGGTTCCCCAATACCACCACTCTGGCGCAGACAAGGAGAAGGGCGGGAAGGGAGAGGGGAGAGGCGAGCATGGGGGCAGCACGAGGAGGATAGTACGACGAGGGGACAAGGCCGCGCGCAGCTACGAGACCTCGGATGACGGAGGGAGAAGTTGTCACCCAAAATCGGAAAAGGAAAAACACTGAAGCGAGGGAGGGACGAGTCCACAGCATCCTGCGGGCCACGCGCCCAGGTCGATCTGCGCACCCAGCCCGGCCCTAACCCAGCCCACCCTGCTTTTCCCATCCCAGCCCCGCCAGGCTCAGGAGGCAGGGAGGGGGGAGGGAGGGAAGGAGGGATGGAGCGAGGAGGGAGGGAGGAGGATGGACTGAGGATGGAGGTCCTACCAGCGAGGTGGCCTATTGAGGCTGCGGCCACAGTCTCGTTAGCAGGGAGCTGCGGGACCCACAGGGCGTTCGACAGCAGCCCAGCAACGTCGACCCAGGGAGAGGCGCGCCCTCTCGAAGAGGGGCGCGGGGTTGGAGGGGGAGGGCAGGAAGTCCGCAGTACAGTCGGATCTAAGACAGAAACACATCCTTCAAACACATGAGACCCTCCGCCGGCCAAAACACAAAGAACATCCGAGGGTACCCTCCTCAGAATGCACAAGCACGTCCAACAAACACGAAAAACACGAGGGCGCCCTCCCCGAATATACCTCGGTCCGACCGTGCCGACGTGCCCACCTGACTCGAACGCCCCAGCCTCCTAATGGACAGGGGCACGCGACAGCGGGGAAGGCAGACGCAGATAGAGAGGGGGGGACTCCTGCGTAAAGGGGAGGACGCGGCCCTCTGGCAAGACTCCTCACCCGATCTCGGCTTCACCGCGCGCCAACACAGGGCGCGCGTGAGAGGCCCTGTGCGCAGGGGAGGAGGAGTTCCCTTCCCCGCTTGCGCGCCCGTCAGCGTTATGAAAGGGTCACCGCTAAACAATGACACACCCGCGAACGAAAGAGAAAGAGACACGGCTAAGCGAGTCAGAACTCAGGCGAGCCTGGCGGCCTCGGCCCTCCACGTCCCCCCCCCTCATCCCTCTTCCTCCCTCCCTCCCGCCCCTCCTTTCCTCCTTTCCTCCTCCACCTCCCTCCCCTTCCCAACCCCGCTCCTTCCATCCTCCTCTGGCCTCCTCCCCTCCTCCACATCCCAGCGCCCCCACAGCGCCTGCGATTCTCCTTCTCCTGCTCCTCGCGGGCCAGGGGGAGGCGGCATCGCTTCTGGTGCCACCGGGGAGGCGAGAATGTCGAAGGGAAGGAAGGAGGCCAGGAGTGAAAATGAAGGAGATCAGTGTCAGGGAGGATCTCAGGGAAGGGGACATCAGGGGATGGGAGGAGGAGGAGGAGGAGGACCATTGCAAACCCAAGAGTCATCAACGATGTTGGAGTACACCCTCCCTCCAAGCTCCCTCTTCAAAGGCCCCTACAACGGTTCATTTCCATGGTCGTAGTTGCCTCGTTGGAAGGCACCCGTTTGAAGATCCTGAAGCATGCCAACACATTGTTCTCGGGATTCCAACGCTACGGATCAACCTGACTGTTGCGTCTTGACGATCATGAATCGTGCCAGAACGCCATTCGTAGGACTTCAACAAAGAGATTCAACGTAACTGTTGCGCCCGTATAATCCGGAATCCTTCCAAAACACCATTTCTGGTACGTTGATAATGGGAACCCGTGGAAGTCTTGAAAATTGTGTAAGCGAATGTGCGCAGCGCTAAGGTTATGGAAACATTTTGAAAAAGGAGCCGCCCTCACTCCGTGAAGTTCTTGCAATTTTATCAAACGAATGTGCACCGCGCTACGGCGAGAGCCACATTTTGAAAACGACCCGCCCTCAATCAATGAAACTCTTGTAAATTTTGAGAACGAATGTGCGCGGCGCTGTGGCGAACGCCACATTTTGAAAACCACTCGCCCTCAATCTTCAATCCGTGAAGCTCTTGCAAATTTGAAAAACGAATGTGCACCGCACTGATGCGAGAGCCACATTTTGAAAACCACCTGCCCTCCATGTGTGTGAAGCTGGTTGCTCATGTTTTAAGCTTCAGAGTCATACATGGTGTGGAAGTCACAGGCGAATCGCCCTGCCCGCCCTAAAAACTGGCCGCGGGGGGTGCGACAGGGAGAAGTTAGTTATAAGGAACAGGAATGGAGGAGGAGGAGGAGGAGGAGGAGGAGGAGGAGGAGGAGGAACAGGAGGAGGAGGAGGAGGAGGAGGAGGAGGAGGAGGAGGAGGAAGAGGAACAGGAGGAACAGCAGGAGGAGGAGGAGGAGGAGGAGGAGGAGGAGGAGGAGGAGCGGCGCCCCTAAGAAAACATAGTCTTCATGCCGACCACCGCGCCGTCTCGTATTCCAGGCTCCAACGCTGCCTCCAGAGACCCGAACCCACAAAGCCAGGGGAGAGCCCGAAACAGGGGCACCGGGGCGAAGAAGGGGGGCGCAACGACGAGTCGAACAAACGCGGCAAGCGGCAGGGAGGGCGTATAATCCTCGACATCAGGGGGAGGGAATGGAGGTACAGCGTCGACATTCGGAGAAATAATCATGGACCCATGGGTAACAGGAACTGAAGCGGTGCTCTCCCGAGACAGTCGAACAGTCCTGGCCTACCAGACGGGAAGAAACCGCGCACCCGCATGTTGGGAGCACACGAAACGGGCAATGGATAAGGCAAACGCCTCGTCGCCCCGTGACCCGCCGCCCAGACGGGATGTCGTAGTTCGTGGGGGACGGTCGGTTCACCTTGTCACCGCGAAACAAATCGACTGGCACGTGCAACTTGGTTGGTGCCCCAGGGCGAGCGGGCACGATGGCCCCATAGGGCTCACCGACCACATGGCCCCGCCTCTCAACCGACTGCACAGTCCCCGTGCCTGATAGCCAGCGCGGAACATGGCACCAGTGTCGCAGACGCAGCGGAACGCCACGGTTCCGAGCAAAGTGCCACATAACAGGAGTGCAAGGAACCAGCATGCTGAGGAAAAAGAGGAGGAAAAGGAGGAACAGCGAAAAGCGAAGAGAAGTCTAGATGGACAGGCTGCCCAGCAATAACCCCTGCTGTCTGATGGTGGGGATGCTGCTGATGACGATGCTGCTGCTGCTGCTGCTGCTGATGATGATGATGATGATGATCATGATGATAGTGCTGCTGCTGCTGATGATGATGATGATGCTGATGATGATGATGATGATGGTGATGCTGATGATGATGGTGATGCTGATGATGCTGATGCTGCTGACGACGATGATGTTGCTGGTGCTGCCGATGCTGATTCTGTTGATGCTGCTGATGATGATTATGGCAACGACGATGCTAGTGCCGATGGTGATGGTAATGATGATGACGCTTCTGGTGATGATGGCGATGGTGATGCCTTTGTCGATAATGATGGTGATGCTGATGATGCTGCTGATGATGATCATGATGCTGATGCTGCTGATGATGGGGCTGCTGCTGATGATGATGCTGTTGATGACGACGATGACGATGACGATGACGATGTTGCTGATGATGATGGTGGTGATGATGATGGTGATGATGGTGGTGATGATGATGCTGGCTGTTGTCAGCTGGCCGTCCGCAGAGAAGGGAGCGCCGAGAGGTAGCGCCACTGGCACGCGACCAGAGTTACAAAGGAGGCGGAGGAGGAGACTTAGACCTGTGGGTGCCCTTTGGGCCCAGGCCTCCAGAGTCCTCCTGGGACCTCCAGGGCCAGAGGCAACCAGGGAGGAACGAAGGCGAGAAGGAAGGGATGATGGGGGGAGGGGGAGGAGGAGAGCAGACCCTGGGAAGAGGAAGGGAGAGAAGGAGCTGAGGAGGGATAGGCCGATGCGAGATCAGAGAGGAAGGGTGTGAGAGGAAGGCGATGACGAAGAGGGACAAGACGGTTCCCCCCTCGCGCGACTCCCAGGGCAGCAAGGCAACGGAGCGCGCGCCCGCGGAAGCGCCGTGCACCAAATTAGTGGGAGGAGGAGGGGGAGGAAACGCCACCATAGCAGCGCTATGCAGGCTCCTGGGGCCCTACTCAAGCAAGTACCTTCGCCCAGAGCGCGGCCAGTTGCTCGGCAACCGGCGGCGCCGACGACGGCCGTAGGGAAGCGGCCGGCGCCGCGCAGATGGCCTGCGTGGCCGCGGCGCCCGCCGCGGCGCGGCCAGCGGCCGCTGCGCGCACCGCGGCGGCGCGATCCTTGGCCTCGGCCCCAAGCACAGTGCAGGGCGGGGCCTCAGGAGCGCCAGCCGCGCGCAGGCCGGCAAGCGCGCGCTCCGCCAGCGCCTGCGGCAGCGCTGGCGGCGCCAATGGCGCCGACGGCGCTGGGGCGGCAGCAGCGCGAGGCCTGGCCCGCGGCTGCTGCGCGGCAGCGGAATCGCGCACCATGGCCCGCTTCATGGCGACCCCAGGCCGCGCACAAGGCGTTCGTGGTGGTTCGCAGCGTAAGTGACGCCCCCCAACGCCACGGCTTCGTGCGCGACGAGCTTCTCTGCGATGGCAAAGAGTGCCGAAGCTGGATCGCACGGCTGCAGGCATCCTGCAGCAGCTTTGTCGAGGACATCTGCCAAGCGATTGGCTCTCCAATCAACGGCCGTTACCACGTGCCTGTCAGACCTCATGGCCGTGCCTAAGACGGTCTGGTTGCCATGAGCCGGCATCCAGGTAAGTCTCCCGCCTGTGACCAATTTCCGAAATGTCACCGTCGACGAAGGACACCCGAGACCACGCCTGCGCAAGCATCCTGGTGGGCAGTGTGGCCTACGCCGTCCCTGCAGCTGCCGCCGTAAGGAGTGATTGGCAAGCGGTGCGATTGATTGGCGGGCTGACGGTGATGGTCAGCACGAGCATGACAGTCCAGAGCTCCGCTACCGCCGCTGTGCTAATCCAGGGTGGAGACGCAGCGCAACCGTGCGCCTCTAAGTCCCCGCACTCGGACACGACCACGAGCGCGCATCCAGTGCGACGGAACTTCCACACAGGCCTACATTTCAGTGACCCGCCAGCGTACCAACGCAAATCGAGAGGTGTGCCGAAATTGGTGTGCGTGACGCACGCAGGCGGTGGCACTGGTGCCTTTGGTGGCGCTCCCTATGGGGCCATGAACCGCGTGAGGGGTGTGCCTCAATGGGTGTGCGTGACGCATGCAGGCGGTGGCACTGGGGCCTTCGGTGGACCCTGTGGGGCCACGAAACGTGTGAAGGGTGTGCCGAAATATGTGTGCGTGACGCATGCGGGCGGTGGCACTGGGGCCTTCGGTGGAGCTCCCTATGGGGCCATGAAGCGTGTGAGGAGTGTGCCGAAATATGAAATATGTGTGCGTGACGCATGCGAGCGCTGGCACTGGGGCCTTCGGTGGAGCTCCCTATGGGGCCACGAGACGTGTGATGGGTGTGCCGACATGGGTGTGCGTGACGCATGCGGGCGGAGGCACTGGGGCCTTCGGTGGCTCCCTAGGGGGCCATGAAACGTGTGAGGGTTGTGCCGAACTAGGTGTGCGTGACGCATGCGGGCGGTGGCACTGGGACCGCCGGTGGAGCTCCCCATGGGGCCACGAAGCGACTGAGGGGTGTGCCGAAACGGGTGATGACGATGGTGATGGAGGAGGGAGGGGGCAACGGGAGAAAAAACGCGGGGACCGTCTCTTCAAAACGAGGACCCAACACAGGATGGTTGGGAAACATCTTAACACGACAATGACACATAACACTGATAAACCAAATGAAGGAGTTGGAGGGGGGAAGAGAATGTAATGAGATAGAGGGAGGGGGAGACTCTGATAAGGCAGAGGAACACTTGAGATGCACAGACCGTGATGATGGATATTGTTCTGGCTTACCCAAAAAAGAATAAAGGAGATGATGCATCGAAGCAGGGGGAAGCAGGAGGTGGGAACGGTGCAACGACGAGAGGATGAGATCTGAACGACAAGGGTCAACTTGCGAATCGGGAGAAGCCAACCAGCCTAGAGGCCTACCTGTCGACGCCAAACAGATCCTGCGGACGGAAGGTCGGCCATCTTCGCAACACTTGGGCCCCCTGACTTGATGAGAAAAGTAGCGGAGGCGAGCCCCCCAAAGCAGCCCCCCACCAACGCAATGGACTGTCCAAGGAGGAGCAGGAGCATCCTCCTCCTCCTCCCTTCTCCTCCCTCCATCCTCCCTTCCTCCCTTCCTCCTCCTCCTTCTCCTCCTCCCTCCCTCCAACTTCTGACTCGGCCCCCGGACCTCTACTCCTGGAGTGCATCCTGGCCAGGACCTCGCGGCGTGCCCAGTCGTTGTGACAAAGCGCCAAACAGACCTTCAAAAACTCCACCTTTCCCTACTATTTAGCCCGGCCCGATAGTACCAACACGCCATGATCTATGATCCCGTACTCCCAAAACCAAAACGACTTAAGCAGAACTTTCGGAGGTCCTCTCGGATTTCAGATTGGGCCAGTCCTGGCCCACCGCACCCCACCCCACTCCTGATCCTGCTCTCGGCGCGCGCTGGGGGCGGCGCCGCCAAGCGTGTTGGGAAGAGAACTCAGAAAATGTCATGATAATGATGTTGCCGGTATTCTGTCTTCGCCACTGCTCTGGCATGTTCTTCATCGATCCGCTTATCCCTGCGGCAGTTCGGCGCAAGATTGGTAGATACTTTTCGGGTGAACTAGTGGGTGAGAGGAGGAACTGCTCCGCATTCTGCTGCGGTGGGACAAGAAAAGGCGGGGTAGCAACCCAATGGCGTCTGGCTTTCGGGTCATACCGCCACTCTCCAGCGGCTAGTCGGGAAGAGAAGGGCGGCCCAGGCACGCTCTCGGCGAGGCGCAGCTTCTGGAACGCTCCCGCAGGGGAACTGGCACAGGTGGGGAAACATTGACTTAAAAAATCGGCGACACATCGCCGATATACCAGCGATAGGCCCCCGATGGCAAATCCGCACGTTGCTGGGCAGGTTGGGGCCATCTGGCCCCTATCGGCGATGAATGGGCCCTTGGGGGTCGATGCGTCCCCCCTTTATGCTCATCTTTACGTGGTTTCCGGCCATAACTCATGCCTCAGGCGGCCGTTCGGGACGATGCGGGCAGCCCTGGAACGCTCTCGGCGAGGCGCAGCTGCTGGAATGCATGCCGAGGCTGGAAAGCCACCGCGAACCGACGAAAACGACCGAAAACCTGGAACCACGAACCGAAAACGACCGAGAACCACACCCCCGAACCCTCCCCCTAACGTTGCCCCCGACCTTCGAGTGTCGATGCATTCCCTCCTGTGCCCATCTCCCTCTATCGTTGCTCCCAACTTCTGGGGAGGGGCGGCGCGCTCCAGTTCGTGGTATCGGGACATGACCATGCAGTGGGCCACGTAGACCCAGAGCAGCGGCCCCGTGACCTTCGCACCCCGGCCGGCGCCCCTCTCCTGGCGCGCCCTCTGCCCCCTACCGATAAAGTCGTGCTCTCCTCCTCCTCCTCCTCTTCCTCCTCCTCCTCCTCCTCGTCCTCCCTCCTCCACGTCCTCCTCCTTGTCTTTCACCTACCTCCTCCTCCTCCTCCTCCTCCTCCTCCTCCTCCCTCCTCCTTCTCCTCCGTTAATTTTCCTCTTCCTCTCCATTCTTTCTTCCTGTTGCTGCTCCCTACTCTAGACGAGCGCGTTGAACTCGCAAAAGTAAGTATTCGCAAATGGCCTGCATTCGCCGAGAGGCATTTGATTTACGATCCATTGCCCCGAGGCAGCATGTGTGTTTCGGACATCTGCGCTCGGTGGCCACCCTTTTATCCTGCAGCTACTCCCTTGCTGGTCAGGCTTCGGGTTGCGCACAGGGCCACCCCCAGGTAGTCCTGGCTGGCCTCATCAGACCCCCCAGGTAGTCTCCGCCTCCGCAAGTCTCTACACCTCAACCTTGGGACGCGGCGCGCCCAAGGGGCGCAGCCGGAAGCGGCGCCAAGGTGCTGAGACCGCTCAAGTCTACTCGGGGGGCCTGTTGAGGCCAGCTGGGACTACTCGGGGGGCCTGTTGAGACCAGGCATTAACTGCTCGTGAACGGAAGACCACGGTGCCCAGACCAGCTCTACATGGGATTTGCCAAACTGGAGAGCGACAAGCTGGTAGCAGACGGCACTAGACGCCACAAACAGGCGGAGACTTAGAATTTTGACAGGTCAAATCTCCGCCTTGAGGGCACCGACGCGGGCTCTCAAGCTCCCGCTTCGGGCCTTCCTCAGGTGGCGGGGCACACCGTTCCTTCTATTGAGTTTCTCATCGCGCTTCTGTTCAACTCTCTGCGTCTCAGCAGGATCGTAAGCCTCTGCAACATTTGAAGTGGATGATATGCACCCTTCAGCTCGCCGCGGCCCTACCAGGCGAGAGAGGGCGTCTCAACCACACTGCCCCTCCAGTAGGACGGGCGGGTGAAGCACGAGGAGGGCAGAGACGTCCGGCAGAGCCAGAGACTGGAAGGGGTGGGAAGAGGACCAATACACGCTGCTTGATACGGCTTGGCGAAGAGACACTTGGCAACATCCCATGCGTTCCCCGTGCCTCCATAGCTCCCTACCTCCTCTCCCCCGCCTTCAGTCCCGCCAACTCTGGGAGGAGATTTGACTGACACAACGGCGGATCTCCCACTGGGTCCGAGTCCGCTTAAAATCAGTCCCCGGACCCCTCCCGGGGTCGATCCTGACCAGTTTTTCGACGCGGATCCAGTCGCGGCGACGAGAAGCGTCCAGGAGACCCGAAAGGCCGAACAACGACAAGGAGGGCCGCCGTTGTCTCGACTGGCCCTCCTCCCGAACTCCTCCTCCTCCTCCTCCTCCTCCTCCTCGTTCTCCTCCTCCTCCTCCTCCTTCTCCTCCTCTCGCGGGCCGCCCTACCAAGCCGCAACTTGACGCTGAGGGGGCAGACGGCCTTGACAACACGGGACGGGGGTCCCAAACCTCTCGAACCTCTCCCCAGGGGGGCCAGATGGTGGGCGTTTTTTTTTTTTTTTTTTTTTTTTTTTTTTTTTTTTTTTTTTTTTTTTTTTTTTTTTTTTTTTTTTTTTTTTTTTTTTTTTTTTTTTTTTTTTTTTTTTTTTTTTTTTTTTTTTTTTTTTTTTTTTTTTTTTTTTTTTTTTTTTTTTTTTTTTTTTTTTTTTTTTTTTTTTTTAAAAAAAAAAATCAGCGTTTCGACATTGGGAGGACGGGGGGGTGGGGGGGGTTTGGCTCTGGACCTCTGCTCAGTACGACTGTTTGCGACAGTGCGTACTGTGGGGGAGGCTCCACCTGCTCGAAACAGGCGCCAAAAAACAGCCAAGATCCGCTGTATGGAGGGGGAGAGGGTGGGGGGAGTGCGAGGGCCCGCGCCGATCGGCAAAACAATGAAAAAAACGATCACATGATCATCTTGCCTGATTCTTGTTTGATACGGCTCCTGGAGCCTGAAGGCGGCAGGACGCCAGAACGGCAAACAAACCTCCGTCCTAGACTTTGACACGCTGGAGGCCTGGGGGGGCGCCAACAACGACTCTCAAGTGCTCGCTCGTATGCAATTTGTGCTGCACCCAGATCTCTGAAGGTATGTTTTTTCAATGCGCGCCCCCAGAGGCCCCCAACCCTTTCCCCAGGGCCAACCTTTCGCCCCGGATGCATTCTTCATGGCCCCAGGGCCCGAAGACGGGCTCAAAAGGCCGAAATCAACGAGAAACGCCCGTATTGAAAAAATCATGTCGGATGGCTGGGCTGGAGGCAGCCTGGGTGTCCATCCAAGGCGGCACCCTCCCTCGGCCCACCATGATGGTCAGGTGGTCGGGCCCCGGGCTGGTGTCCACCGAGATGATGGTGCCCGTCTCCCTGCAAACCAGGCGGCCCAATCGCAGGGAGCAGAGAGACAGGGTACGGCAGACTCGCGCGCCAAATCGACGAGGCGGCGGCCCTGGCGCGGGCGTCCAAAAGGTTAGGCAACAAATCCTGGGAGGTCTTTGTAAAGGGCGATTACAAGCTATTACGCCTGATTGAGGGGGCATTGAGCCAGATTTGGTCCTGTTCAGCAGGGGATGAAACCGAATCACATTGGCTCAAGCCAGATTCGGCGGGACTATGCCAGATCATGCCAGTTTTCAACCACAGATATACCAGCGCAGATGCGATTTTAAATTCAGGAGCTGCTTGCCAAATCAAGGAAAAGACGTACGCGCCAAACCATGCAAATGTCCCGTACGGCAGGTTCGTGTCGTGCCGACCCCAGCGTTGGTTTTTGACACCGCAGGGATCGTTCAACCTTGAACGATCGGCCGCTGCCGCAACGTCCGATCGTTCAACACCGATCGATTCTGGGTCGCCGGCGGCGTTCAACCTTGAACGCCGCTGGCGGGGTCGCCGCTGGTCGACACGACGCAAACCTACCGTTATCTGTTTCCGGAAAGAAGAAACAACCTCTCATGGCCGACGAACGGCCCCGAAGGAGCAACCGTCAGGCGCTGGGAGGTGGGGACGACAACCCCAAATAGTCATAAGGTAACCTTTGATGTACATCCCAGGAGGAGGAGCGAGGAGGAGGAGGAGGAGGAGGAGGAGGAGGAGAGGAGGAGAGAGGAGGAGGAGGAGGAGGAGGAGGAGGAGAAGGCAGATCCCAGTCCCAAGCCGTGCACCCAGGCGGACGCTTAGGCAAGACGAGTTGTGCACGTTGGCATGCTCGTCAATGGAATGGAATGGAATGGAATGGGAGTCTGCGTGCCAGCTCTGGTACCCGGAGCGGTCCCCTAAAGGGCAGACCGTGTGCTGAGCATGTCGGAACATGAATGTCGGAAAATGAATGAGTCCTCCCCAAAGCAGGAAACCTGAAAGCCCTCTACCATCCCTTAGACTCTCTTGCCTGGCTGCCCCCTCGCAACGGCGCTGGCGCTGACCCTCTACCGAGCTTTTTTACCGTTGCCTCGGCGTATCATTACCCATCACCGTCGAGGAAACACCCCTTCTGTCTGGAGCGAAATACATTCGTGTACTGATCCAGACCTTGGACGATAGTGACACCGCACATTCCTCGGCGGGATGGGCCATCATCGGCGATCAGCAGACGATTGGGAATCGACGCATCCCCCCTGAGCCTATTCCACCCTTACGTTGTCGCCTGGTTCTCGGGTCGTAACTTGGCTCTCCAGCGGCCGTTCGGGGCGATGCGGGCAACCCTACCCTGGTCTCCCCTCGGCGAGGCGCAGCTGCTGGAACGCATACTGAGGCATGAAAGCCGCCGAGAACCGACGAGACTCTCCCTCAGCCTATTCCCCCCCTGGTGAGACCAAGAGATACCGATACCGCTAATTACTCCCCAGACCTCTCCTGCGGTGCGTTCTGCTCAGCATCTCGAAGCAACGCCAGCGGTGGCGACGAGGGCCTCCCGGAGGCCCGACAAGGTAAACACCAGGCAAGGGTACCGGGTACGGGTACCGGTATCGGTACCCATCGGTCGGAAGAGGGAGGTAGAAGCATGGAGTAGGAACACGTTGACAAAAAGATGGGGTTCCGTCCGCCCCCTGAGGAGAACGGAAAAGGTGAAGCCACTCGATCATTGAAGTAGGAAGGCGCTTAATGTAGACTGCTGGCACTCCAACGCTACCTACTTTCAACGACGGCTGGGTAATTACCTTTTCTCTGACCCCCCGAGCCTGCCCCTCCTGACGCTGTGCCCCTGAAGAGGGCCCTCAGCGCGGAGAGGCTGGGGCCGAGACCGTGCCTAGAAGCCTTGGGGCGGCTTCGCGCGGGTCGTCGGGAACGGGTGAGGAGAGACCGACCGTCCCGGCATCCCTACAGGCCAACCACGCACTGTTCTTACGTGCTCGAAGGACGAGGGCAATGCTCTTCGAACAGGAGCCCAGTGGTGGCAAGACAGGACGGCCTCCGCCAGAAGTGTTCTGAGAGCACTTCGTGAAACCCACCCAGGGCTCTTCGAGGATTCATTGGTGGGTCTCCTTTGCAGGTCAGAACGCCTCGCCAACAGTTGAACCAAGCCCCGATGCCGCCGCGGCGGGGGCCAGCCGAGCCCAGCGTCGGGCTCTGCCTCGAGGGCGCAAGCCTCGACGGCCAGGCGGCCACGTGTGAACCCATACGTGAAGGGGCCCCAGGACACACAAATAAATACACACAAATAAAAAGATTCACCATATTTTCCTATATTTTCTGGGTTTTTGTCTTCCCGCCCAATTCCCATATTTTCCCATATTTTCCTGGGAGTCGACGATTAATTGTGTCTGTGTGTTTTTTCCCCTCCTGAATACGGCCGGACCCAGGACGGAAAAACATCCTTCAAGAACATGAGACCCTCCGCCGGCCCAACTCAAGAACGTTCGAGGGTGCCCTCCCCCGGGGTGCACAAGAACATCCAAGGAACACGGAGAACATCAGGGTACCCTCCCCGAAACGACCTCGATCTCACCCCTAGGTCCGACTAAGACGAAGCCAAGACAGGGACAAACTCTGACAATGCTCACTACACCAGGGATTTCTGAGATCCGGCGGTTCCGGAGCGCCCCCCGGCCTTCTCAGAGCGTCCTGACACGCTCGGACACCGCTCTGGAACGCTCCGAACGACTTGCCTTGGGCGTTGCTTCACGGGGGCTCGACTACTGGGGGGGGGCGAAGAAACGAGTACCTTTCGTGCGCCTTTTGGGCCCCTATGGGGCCCCCTTGGAGCACAAAAGGTGCACCTTTCGCGCCCCCCGCAGTTACCGCACCCCCATTAGACGAGGTAGATCTTTAGAACCCCCCTGCAATAGCGGAATCCAATTATCCCCACGACGCCCCTATTGACGGACTGGGGTCCCACTTTTACGGCGCAGCGCGGCAGAAGCAGTCCGCACGCGTGCTCAAGCGGGCCGGGAAACGGCAGACGCTAATCAGGCTGGGGTCCCACCGATAGTGGAACATAATTGTTTCTCCGCGGCACCCGCCGCGCAACAACGACGAGAAGGAAGAGGAGGAGGGGGGAGGAAGAGGAAGAATAAGAGGAGCAGGAAGAGGAGGGGCAGAGTTTATCCCCCGCCGGGAGAAACAAGGGGGGGATGCAAAACTAAAGACCTCCTAGGGTTACTCGACGCCCCGTAATCTATGTCCTAGCCCCGCCTGGCTCCCCCTGCAAGGCAGATTTCTGAAACGCCGGCTGGGCTTCGACGCTCGAAGCACGTCTGCAGCTGTAGGCGAGCCCCAGGGGTGTTCGGTACCCCCCTCGACGCTTGGACCAACAGGCTGGCAGGGGTGGGCTTCGCCTCCGGTGGCAAGATGGCGCAGAAGCGGGTTTAAGACGAAACCAGGACGAGGATAAATTCGGGGGAGGACAGATCGAGAATCTCTGAGATCCGGCGACTCTGGAGGATGTATCGGGCGCCGCAGCCTTCTCGTAGCCTTCTGGAACGCTCTGAGTGCGTTCCAGAACGCTCCGAGTGAGCATCGTTTATCCGATCCCAATCCCCAGCGGCGTGGCCTGGGCCCACTGGCCGATTTACCCCCCTAGATGGGGATATAGGCCGTGCCCTTCGGGTTTCGAGGCGTGTATCCCCAACAGGGGTGGTAATTTGGTGGGGGTCTCGAAGGGGATGGGGATGGGGATGGGGATCGGTTAACCGATACCTATTTGAAACGCATTCATCTTCGTCCGAGCCCCGCCCGAGGGTTGCGCGGCCGCAAGCGTATGCTCGTCCACGGGAGCCCTCCGGGAATGTGGCCACCAGGCCCTGAGGGGTGCATGGCCCGATGGCCCTTGAGGCCGCGGGCTGACGCTGATGTGTGCTCGTCTGCACAAGCCCTCCATAGAAGAAGAACAAACGCCATACACATGAACTTTTGGCGCTCCGCGCGGATTTCTTGGATCTGCGTTGGACCCCCCTCCCTGGCGCGCGGAGCGCGCCAGGAGCGGCGCGGGGGGGGGGCCTGGCGCAGATCCAAGAAATCCGCGCGGAGCGCCAAAAGCTTATGTTTATGGTATTTTTTCTTCGTCGACTCCGGACGATGCCCAGCTCCGCGCGCCGAGGACCGCCCACGCCATCGGGGGGCAATCGCGAGGCACACCCATGATGCGGAATCCTACGTAAGGTGCTCGGACCTCCGATGCCCCGAATTCTCCGATCCCTCCCTTGGGAGGAACATCCTGGAGGCCTCGCGGGGCCAAGGGATCCTATATTAGGAGGCCTCTTGTTCAAGGGGCCGAGGGATCCTATATTAGGAGCCAAGGGATCCTCGATCTCCTGTTCATCTTAGGAGCAATCTTAGGATCCTCCTGGAGGCCTCTCTTGGGAGGAAAATCCCCTGAGACACGATTTGCGTCGGGTCCGAGTCTGACCCGCGTCGCCTTCGCGTCGCCTCCACGTCGGATGTACGTCGGACCTACGTCGGAGCGTCGCCGCGCGAGCGTCGCTCCATGTCTGACGGGGCGAACGTGTGGACTGGATAGTACAACGATTGCGCGCCGCGCGAGGCCTCCCGATATCTTCCCTCGTAGCCTCTCTGGACCGATTGCTCCCCGGGTCGCAGCTTTAGCGCCCAGGAATGGACTTCTGCGGCCAGAGGCTGCGACAGCCAGCGCGATCCTGTCAAGCCGCCCAGAGAGGTGTGGGATCCGACATTCCGCGGGTCATCGGGCAAGACCCGGCGGACATTCGCGCCCATACAACACTCGCGCGGTCAGCAACATCCGGCTGAGGAAGGTGGGCCGAAGAGGCATCGACGAAAAAGTACATACCCCTTCAAAGAATACTCAGCATGAGGGTGGAATTTGACTGCAGCTCTGCCGTCCTCTCTTTAACCCCCCCCGCCTGAGTTCCACCCTCTCTGTGGGCTTCTTATGTTCCCCTTCCTCCATCCTCCTCACCCGTCCCTCCTCCTGCTCCTTCTGCCACCACCTCTTCAGTCACTCAATGTGAGTACCTCTCCTGATGCCGCCCATCGCTGCCGCCGCCTATCCTTCGTCGGGTATTGGCATTTCCCGTTTTTTTCCAGATTGTTCTCGGTCCTTGAATCGGGGAGACGTAAGACTCGGGTACGGGAACTCGGGTTGGTCTGACGGGGCCATCATAAAAAATGACGAGACACGATCTGAAATTTGACGCGAGCTCCCGCTGCAAACATCCCACGAACGCTGGACCGTCAAAATCCAGGACGCGCTCGTCAAAAAACGTCGGCAAACCCGGATTCCGGCTTACTCGAGTCTTACGTTCTCGACTGAAGATGGCTCTCCCGAGCAGCGTTGGCCACAACTTCAACATGAGGGCTCTGCTCCCTTCGTCCAGAAGGGCACCATCGCCCCGGCGTGGGCCACATTTCTGGATGCGACTCCTTCCTCGTCGCTGCCTTCCGCTCCCTTCCCATCCACCGCCTTCCCCTGGTTCTCCTGCTCCGCCTGCTCTTCTCCTGCTCCCGCATCTGCTGATCCTCCTCCGCCGTCCTCGTCCTCCCGCTCATCCGCCACCTCCGCCAGTTGACAAAGCCCACCATCTTCTGGTTGCGCATCACACGATCGGGCCACTTGGGGCATCAAGGTCCTCTAGGACACCCCAGTCGGCGGATACAGTAAACAATTCAGCGCAATGGGAAGGGATGCGTGGGAGGGGTAGCATGTCGGGTATAGCGCGAGCGGATATAGCCTTTATTTCCCTTCCTCTTCATCCTCCCCCGTCCCCCTCAACATCATCCTCCTCATCTCCCTTGTCCTCTTTCTGCCGTCCACCTCCGTTCCCCCTCGCCATCATCCTTCTCCAATTTCCCTTTTCCCCCTCTTCCTCGACCTCCTGTCTCAAACACAAGCACTGATCAGGGTGGCGAACCGTCCTCCTGGGGAAGGTGAAGTGAAACAGGACCCCCCTCATCGTCTCGTCAGCGCCCTCAACTCCACCCCGGCTTGCTCCGCCCTTGCGCGTGCACCATGCGCCGCGTGCGTCGCCGGGTGCGTAGCTGCGTGCGTGGCCGCGTGCCCCGTGTGTGCCACGCGCGTGCACCCATCGGGCGGGCCCCAAGGGGCAGTCCTTTTAGGCGCTCCGTCGAGATGCTACCCGCCGCCCGCGCCGCTGCGCTGGCCCGCAGGCCCTCCGGGGCGGCTGGCGCCCGCAACGGGGTGGACCTGCCCCGAGGATCCGCCCCTGCAACGCACACGCAGTCCAAATACGCAGTCGCCCCCCCCCCCCACCCCACCACACCTGCCTTCCCTCATACAATTATCCGTCGGTCGGAGGAAGTAGGTAGAAACATGACGTGAGAAGGCCTTGGAAACAGAGTGGGCCCCCGCCCGCCCCCTGAGGGCGCAGGAAGAAGGGCGACTACTCTTCTCTTGAAGGAGCGAAGTAGGAAGGTGCCTAAACTAGACTGGACTGGAATCTGGGAATACCAAACATCTACTTTCAAGGACAGGCGTGTATCCCCGTTTCAGACCCCGACCTCTCGTGCACCGTCCCATCCCTTCGTCCCCGTTTCTCCTCCTGCCTCTCTCAGCGCCCTCTGCTTCCCCTCACCAACGCCTCGTCCCCCCTCCTCCGTCTTTTCCCTCTTTCTGTCTGTCACCCTGCCTCCCTCCTGTCCCCGTACCCCCTCCTGAAGCCTGTCTTTTCATTATTCGCCGCAGTCGGCATGATCGGGGGAGGGGGGAGTTCGACCCCCGCCCCCCCCCGAACACATCACGGCGGGGGGCTGCCCTGAGCACCGAAGCGCCCCTGCATGCACCGCCAAGGCCTGCGAGCACGCCAGCGCGCCAGAGTACCACATTGACCACAAGACGGCGCACGCATGAGAGCAGCACAACGTGCTTGCGAGGGGAACGGGGGCCGACTAATCAACCGGAGACTCGTCGCCGCTGGCCTCCGGGGGGCTCTAGAAACCTCCAGAGACCTTCGGAGGCCCTGCGGCTCCCCAGCATGTCCCAAAACAGCCGACGAAGAAATGTGCAAAAATATGCACGCTCCCCCTCCTCCTCCTCCTCCTCCTCCTCCTCCTCCTCTCCTCCTCCTCCTCCTCCTCCTCCTCCTCCTCCTCCCCCCAGAGATCGGGGTCCGTCTTCCAGAGGCACCCCCTTGTTTTCAGCCCTTGGCCGCGGACGACAGCGACGACGACGAATTCCTAGGAACCCCCTAAGGATCCTTAAGAGATCCTCGAAGAATCCTTCGGATTTCTTTGCAAATGTGGGCAAGATAGCGCGACGTGATTCGGGGGGGCAGGGAAAGGGCTGATCACGGCCGTTATCGCCCAGACCTTAAAAACAGGCTCCTATTCCTCTCCTCCTCCTCCTCCTCCTCCTCCTCCCTCGCGTCCTCCTCCGATCCTCCCTTGTCCCCTCCCTGCCGCTCATTTCTCACTCCTCCCTCTTCATCATTCCCCCCCCGTCTTCCCTCCATCCATTGCCGCCCCACCCGCCCATCGTACTCCCCACCTTCTTGCTCCTGCTTCTGCAACTGCTCTCCACAAATCCCCCCGACCTAGGCTGCTCGAGCGGGATGCATGCCCCGGTGGACGCGACACGTTTTCCGACCCCTCGCTTTCACGGTAAACACTCCCAAGAAGGAGCAAAGACGGCGACTCGCCTCTCCACGCGGAGCTTGTAGCGCTCGTCCTCGCCGAGGATCTGGCCTACAGGCGCACGGGCAGGGAGCAATGCCACCAAGACGAAACCAGGACGAAGATAACATCGGGTGATAATAAATCGGGAATCTCTCAAGTTCGGCTGCTCTGGAGGCTGTCTCGAGCGCCGCGGCCTTCTCAGAGCGTTCCGGAATGCTCTAAGAGCGTTCGAGAACGGGAACGTATTTATCCTCGTCCTAGCCCCGTCCGACCCCCGTCCCTCCCTCCAGATATCCAACGAAGAGCGTGGACTTGGTCTGCGCCATCCTCATCCACTGCCGAATTTAGCCAAAAAACGTCGGGTGTTGGCAAAGACTGCCCGTAACCCCTGAGGGGGCACCATAACAAACCCGCAACCGCTTTTCGACTCCTAAGCCTACGCGACTTGGTGGCCCTGAACAGCTCCTCCACCTGCCCCATCATCCCCCCTCCCCTTCCCGAAAGGCACCCAAGGAGCCCTCCAGGGGACCCGCGGGAAGCTTTCGTGAATACGGTGTCTTCCAAATACCTCCGAAAACGAAGACGCCCACACGAGACCCTACGATACCCAAGGTGAGCCCCGCGAGATGCCCAATGGGCGTCGCAACGATGAGCGAGGCGAGGCGAACGCGCAGTCCCGCTGAAGGCGGGGTCCTTGCGGGTGCTCAAGTTCCAACCGCCAATCTCAGCCAGTCGTCGTAGAAAGTTGTGCCGTGGCTCACCATGCAGATTGTTTCCCAGCGCCTCGAAGTCTCGTGGTCCCAGCGCTTCTGTTGTCCGTTGCTGTTTCTCTTGTTGGGCTGGTCGTTGGTTGTGTGCAATGGGGGGGAGTCCACGTGGCCGCGCGCCGTGCCCATCGGTCTGGAGGTAAACACGCAATTCGGATGGCCAGCCGTCATGTTGTGCTGAAGACCTGTGGACCCCTGTCGCAGGTCTGTGCGTGCACCTGTGGGACGAGCGTTGGCGATGCGCGTAGCTCTCCTACGAACTCCGCCCACGGCTTGACATCATTATCGTCGAAACCAACGTTGTCGGTGTGGCCGTCGTTGCCGTAAGTGCTGTCAGGTGCCTTGCCACTGGGCGCTGCGGGCCCCGTGGTCCTGCCCAGTGAGCCTCTTTGGGCCAGTGTGCAGAACAACCGTGCTCAGCATGCACAGCGGGCATGGCTGTCCTCACCATACTCCTTTGGGTGATGAACTTGGGGGATCGGTGCAACTTTCGGCTTGCGAATGGCACTAGGTCGTATTCGCGATCTCTGGATATGGCGATCTGGACCTCCTCATCTACCGGCTCGCACTATTATCATTCGACGCCACTACCAACACTATCGGCCTCACCATTACTATGTCTACCATCGCACATTCTGTAAGAGATCAACATCACTACCTATCTATCCACAACGGGACATCCACGGGACAACCGCGAAACAATCAAACGACTACCACGGATCGACGACGGGACAACTACGGGACAACCACGGGCTGCTCGCGGGAGAACCACGGGACAACCGCGGGACAAACACGGGATACTCACAACACAATCACGGGACAACAGCGGTACACGGACATCACGGGACAACAACGGTACGACCACCCTTCGGGTGATAAGGAAGTTGTGGGGGGGGGAGAGAAAAGGGGAGCCAACATCTGACTCAATCGATCTCACGATCGATCTCACTCAACGGAACACCACGGGGCAACCCGGGACACCACGGGACACTTGTCGATCTCACTATCGATCTCACTATCGACCTCACTCAACGGGACATCACGGGACACCACGGGCAACAACGGGACACCACGGGACACCGCGGAACACCTCTCGATCTCAGTATCGGTCTCACTATCGATCTCACTATCGATCTCACTCAACGGGACACCACGTGACTCCACGGAACACCTCGATTTCACCACATCGATCTCACTATCGATCTCACTCAACGGGACACCACGGGGCACCGCGGGACACCACGGAACACCTGTCGATCTCAGTATCGATCTGACTATCGATCTCACTTTTTGGGACACCACGGGACACCTCGGGCACCACATCGATTCATCGATCTCAGTATCGATCTCAACATCGATCTCACTCAACAGGACATCACGGGACACCACGGGACACCTGTCGATCTCACTATCGATCTCACTATCGATCTCACTTTTTGGGACACCACAAGACACCTCGGGGCACCGCATCGATCTCAGTATCGATCTCACTCAACGGGACACCACAGGACACCACGGGACACCACGGGACACCGGCGGGACACCGCGCGGCACAGGCCGCCGGAGGAGAAACATTTGGTCCGGCCGCGGCCCAGCCACAGGAGGATTTCCTCTCGCCCGTCCACGCAGCTTCGCCTCGCCCGCACGCACGCACGGCACGCACGACACGAACCCGAAGACGAAATCGATTTCCCGGTAGGGGGGGTCTCCGTTTCACGTCGGACTCACCCCCCAACCTCCGATAAAAGAAATCCAGGGGGTGGAACCGACGACGGTCGTCCTCTGTGCCTGTCTGTCGGTCTGGCGGCATATTGCCGCCGTCACCACCCCGTCGCCGCTTCAATTTCTCAGCGTACATTGTACAACGTACGTTCTCCTTTCTAACCAAAAACTCGGATCTACCACCCCCCCGAACTTATCGGTCCATGGGGATATGCAACACAAGATACCATCGGGATAACCATCGGAACAACCATCGAGACAGTCGGAGAACCATCCGAAAAACCATCTGGACGACCATCGGGACAACCGACGGGACAACCAACGGGACAACCACGGGACAACCCTCGGGGCAACCATCGGGTCAAGTGTCAGGACAACCACGGGACAACCATCGGGACAACCATCGCGACAACCGACGGGACAACCATTTGGACAACCGTCGGAACAACACTCGGGACACCGATCGGGGCAACCATCGGGACGACCATCGGGACGACCATCGGGACGACCGTGAGGACATTCATCGGAACAACCATGGGGACAACCATCGTGACAATTATCGGGAAAACTATCGGGACAACCATCGGGACAACCGCGGGACAACCGCGGGACAACCGCGGGGCAATCGCCGGACAAAGCCACCCCCAACTCCGCCAATCGGACTAGGAGAGTCGTTTGCTCTGACTTCGCCCTAGCAACAGCGAGATCACTCCTTTCGGTCGCGCACGCAGCTTCGCCTCGCCAGCACGCGCGACACGAACACGAAACCGACACCGATTTCCTGGGGGGGGTCTGCGTTTCACTTCGATCTCACCCCCCCAATCTCCGATTTGGGCCACAAGCTCCAGGCGCCGGAGGAGCCGAGCGCAGTTGTTTGTTGCACGCTGGTCTGACCAGCTGGAGCTCCGAAGATGCCGAGCGCATGTGTAATTGAAATCAGTCGGGACAACCATCGGGGCCAACATCTAGACAACCATGGTGGCACCGAGCGCATTTTGTAACCGAAGCCCATCGGGACAGCCATCGAGACAGCCATCAGGACAACCATCGGGGCAACCATCGGGACATCCATCAGGAAAGCCATCGCGACAACCAACGGGACAACCATCGGGACAACTGTCGAGACAACGATCGGGTCAGAGATCGCGACAACCATCGGGACGACCATCGGGGCGCACGTCGGGACAAACATCGGGATCGGGACAACCACAAGACAACTACCAAAACAAATCTGGGGACAACTGGAGGGACAACCGCGGGACAACCGACGGGACAACCGCGGGCTACCAACCGCCAGCCGCAACGGAGGAGAGTTGTTCGATCTGACTTCGCCCTAGCAGCGGCTGGATCACTCCTCTCGCCCGCGCACGCAGCTTCGCCTCGCCCGCACGCACGACGCGAACACGAAACCGACGCCGAGTTTCTGGAGGGGTGTCTCCGTGCCACCTCGATCTCACACCCCCTACCTATACACAAATAGACATGTATACAATGTGTATACACACGCACGACGATCTCATCATCAGTGTGTCTATCGGTCTGACACTCTACGGGTCTCAAGCCTATAGAAGAGGCGGTCACAAGACGACCACGAGACAACCGCGGGGCAACCAAAGGGCAACCATGGGACAACAAGGGGACAACCACGGGGCAACCAAGATACAACAGCGGGACAACCACAAGAAAACAACGGGACACACGCAATGAAACCACGGGACAACTACGAGACATGTACAGCACAACCAAGGAACAACCGCTGGACGACCGCTCGACGACCAAGGGACAACCAAGCAACAACCATGGAGTAACCACCAAACAATCACAAGACAACCAGACGACAACCAATGGACAGCCACGGGACAACCACGGGACAACCACGAAGCACACACAGGACAGCCAGGGACAACCACGACACAGTCAAAAGAAACGCGCGGGACAACGACCAGGCAAACATCACAAGACAACCACGTGAGCAAACCACGGGGCAAACTCGGGACAACCATAGGACACGTGCGGGGCAACGACACACGAATCACAAGACAACCACGCGACAAAACCACGGGCGAACCACGGGACGACCGCGGACAACTCCGTGCACGCTCCAGGCAATCCCCCGCGCCCGGACCCGACTCATTTTGGCGTCTGGGCCTAGCTAGTGCAGGAACTCGCGCAGCTTCGCCTCGCCCGCACGCGCGTCATGCAGGACACCGAGCGAAACCGAAACAGACTTGCTGGTTGCAGGACTCCGTCGTCTCTCTTCGGCCTCACATCCAGAACTGCGAACGACAATTTCGTAATCCCAAATGGTGGTCATAAGAATGGGAACCCTGCGTGGCCCGTCTGCAAGCCGGCCGACCACCACGTAATCAAATCACACGGAGGTTGTTTGTTTGGATCTGTTTGGGTAGCCCGTGACTGCTCGAGCAGGTAGCGGCAACCGCAACCGCATTAACCACCAAATCCGCCAATCCAAACCGTGGAGCCGAGGAGAGGGGGGCGGAGAGGGAGCTCAGCGGCTGGCGGCCTACTGCCGCCTTGGGGAGGTCGCACGAGACCGCGTGATCCATCTGCGCTGCGCCTGCGCCCGGGATCGCCGCGTGCATGGCCCTTCGGAGAGGAGCGCAAGACAGAGGACAGTCATAGCGAGGGGCTTTGCTTTTGCTGGCCACGAAGAAGATCCCCGATCCATTGAACGGCCCAGAAACCAGAGCACCTCCTGAGCCCAAAGCGGTCCCTCCTTCAGCTTCTTGACTGCATGGCGACCCTCAGATCCAGGGATCCTGGAACAGTCGCGACCAGTATTCTCCATCCCCGCTTTCGGGCCCCAGGGCCTTCAGAGATCGATCAGGCTCGAGACATTGCGCACTAAGGTGGAGCCGAGTGCACAGCCAAGTTTCCATGGCCTCGTGATGTTTTCACGTCGGACCTCTGATAAAGATGCGGGTAATGAAGGACATTGCACTCAATTGGGGAGGGGTTCTCCGTGCGCCCGCCTTCCGCCCAAGGCTGAAGGCGCAGGGCAAGGATGAGAACTTAGACCCGCAGGGCGTCGGGAGAGCATCACTAGAAGACCGCATGCACAGACAGACACACACACACACTCACACACACACACTCGCACGCACGCACACACACATACGCACGCACGCACACACACTCACACACACACACATACGCACGCACGCACGCACGCACGTACACACACGCACGCAAGGACACACACGCACACACACCACATACACACCACGCACGCACGCACGCACACGCACACGCACGCGCACGCGCACGCGCACGCGCACGCGCACGCACGCGCACGCGCACGCACGCGCACGCGCACGCGCACGCGCACGCACGCACACACGCGCGCACGCCCGCGCCCGCGCACGCGCACGCACGCGCACGCACGCGCACGCGCGCGCGCACGCGCACGCACGCGCACGCGCACGCGCACGCACGCGCACGCGCACGCACGCACGCGCACGCACGCGCACGCACGCGCACGCACGCGCACGCACGCGCACGCACGCGCACGCACGCGCACGCGCACGCACGCGCACGCACGCGCATACACACGCACGCACGCACACACACACACACATACGCACGCACGCACACACACATACGCACGCACGCACGCACGCACGTACACACACGCACGCAAGGACACACACGCACACACACACACACACAACACCACGCACGCACGCACGCACGCACACGCACACGCACGCGCACGCGCACGCGCACGCGCATGCGCACGCGCACGCGCACGCACGCGCACGCGCACGCGCACGCGCACGCGCACGCACACACGCGCGCACGCCCGCGCCCGCGCACGCACGCGCACGCGCGCACGCGCACGCGCGCACGCGCACGCACGCGCACGCACGCGCACGCGCGCACGCACGCGCACGCACGCACGCGCACGCACGCGCACGCACGCGCACGCACGCGCACGCACGCGCACGCACGCGCACGCACGCGCACGCACGCGCACGCACGCGCACGCACGCGCACGCACGCGCACGCACGCGCACGCCCACGCACGCCCACGCACACCCTTGCACGCCCACGCACGCCCACGCACGCCCACGCACGCCCACGCATGCCCACGTACACCCACGCACACCCACGCACACCCACGCACTCACACAGACACGCACACAGACACACACAGAGACGCACACACACACAGACACACACAGAGACACACACACACAGCACACGCAACACACACAACACACACAGCACACACACGACACACACACACAACACACTCACACACCCACACACGCACACCGCACGCCGCACCCGCACCCCCCCCACCCCACACCCACACACCCACACACCCACACACCCACACACCCCCACAGACCCCCAAAGACCCCAAAGACCCACATAGACCCACACAGACCCACACAGACCCACACAGACCCACACAGACCCAAACAGACCCACACAGACCCACACAGACCCACACACACACACCCACACACACCCACACTTAGACCAAACACACACACACACACGCACTTACACACAAGCACACGCACACACACACACACTTACGCACGCACACACACACACACTTACCACACACGTACACACACACTTATACCCACACACGCACACACTTACACACACTTACGCACACGTGCACACACAATTACACCTATTCACACACACACGCACACGTACACACATTTGCACACACTTACGCTTACACACATACACTTACACACACCTACACACACTTACACATACCTACTCATACTTACACTTGCACACGCACTTGCACACACTGACACACACACACACGCACACACTCTTATACACACACGTACACACACGCACACTTACACACAAGCTTACGCACAGTTACACACACTTACACACACGCCCACCTATAGAGACGCACCTACACACACCCACACACCCACTCACACACCCACCCACACACACAAATACTCACCCACACATCCACACACACTTACACACATATTTGCACACACACACACACTTACACACACGCACTTGCACACACTTTCACACACTTTCACACACTTTCACACACACACCTACTTACACACACGCACACACACACTTACACACACTTACACACACTTAAACACAATTACACACACGTGCACACACTTTATGTAAGATGACGATTCAGAGATGACCGGGGGTCGTGTTGCGTCGGCGGCGCCCCGGAGGATGATTAGGAAAAAACCGGCCGCGGGTTGGGAAACTATTTTTTTAGTTGCTCCCCCCCTGCCGTCCGTCCTGGGAAAGTACTTTATGGTAAAAATTAAACTCGACGTGGATTGTGTATTTGACGGAAAATTTGAATCCGATATCAATTGAGCTTTAGACATAATGTCTGAAACCGACGTGGAACGAGTATTTGACGTAAAAGTTTGAAGCCGACGTAGATTTGTATTTGACATAAAATTTGAAGTCGACGTAGAATTATTATTCAACGTGAAATTTGATGACGTGACATGAGTGTTCGACGCAATATTCGAGGCCGACGTGTTATAGACATATTGCTTAAACGTCCTCCTCCTTTTGAAAAACCGAATAAAAATCAAACAAACTATTCTTTAATCGTTCCCACTATGTTTAAGTAACCACCATCCTGCATTACACACACACTTACACTCACTCACTGACACACTCACACACTTAAACACACACTTACACTTTCACACACACACACACACTTACACACACTTACACACATTTATACACTTACACAAACACACACGTGCACACACGTACACACACACACACTTACACACACACGCACACTCTTACACATACACACGTACGCACGCACAGGCACAAGCACAAGCACAAGCACGAGCACGAGCACGAGCACGATCACAACCACAAGCACACACACTGCCGACGGCCAACGCAGACTTCTTGGATCGGTGCTGGACCCCACCGGCGGCGCTTCCATCGCCGCCCCTGGCTCGCTCGGCGCGCCAGGGCGGGAGGTCCAACGCCTATCCAAGAAATTGGCGCGGACCTCCCGTACCGTAGGAGCTCGACCACAAGAAACCTTCCACATGAAACCCAACCCTGAGACCCCAGGACGTCCGTTGACTTTTGGCGTGGGGACGCCACGCGCTCCAGAGCAGAACCATCGAAACCCAAGAAACCCAGAGCACCCTGGAGGCAAGCAGGGTGTTTCTTGCCATGGGCTTCCACTGTAATTTCGGGAGCGGCCAAGAGAGGGGTGTGGGGTGCAAATCATGACCGGCGGCACGTGCGCGGCCCAGCGGGGGGGCCGAGGCACGTAATGAAACAAGAAGAGGCGCCATGAGATCTGGGGAAATATCATGGCCCCCGCCATGATATCCACCCCCTCCTAGTCATCACCCCCCTCTTTTCCGCCCCCGATAGTTCATGCCTGTGCCCGTTTTTCTCGTTCTCGGCTCACGACAGGTCTCCTGTTCGCAGGTGTGGGCCCTCCGCGGCTGCCCTCGGGCCCTGGGGCCATCGATCGGCGGCCCCGCAACGAACACCGTGCCCCGTGGACAGGGTCCACACCTCGCCTGTTTTGCCGTGGCGACCCCCCGGGTGCAGCACCGGGTAGCACTGAGACCGGTGTCGCCGGTGGGGCTCTTCCATCATCTCGAGCCACAGATGGTAGCCATGCGCGGGCGATCCACAATGAAGATGCGCTGGCAATGAAATCTGGCTCCAAGTGTGCTTATGATACCTGGCCCGCCCCACAGCGTCGTAAACACCTACGTAAGACGTTGAAGTCTGGGTGCGACGAGAACGGGAGGACGAACCGGGACAGGCATGTTCGTGGGGCTCGTCTTTCAAGGGGGTGCTTTTCGAACATGAAAGGGATGCTTGTAACACTGCTTGTAAGGACTTATCAAAGACTCCTGGGACGAGATGGTGCATTGCAGCATCGGTGATGAATTATGGGTTTACTCTGGCTCTTCCCTCCCCCCTCCTCCTCCCCCATCTCGTCCTCCCTCGTCCCCCTCTTCCTCCCGCATCCACCTCGTCCTCCCTCCTCCCCCTCGTCCCCTCTTCTCCCCTCATCCCGAACCCATCTCCCCCGCTGGTCTTTCGGGCACACGCTGACATGAATTACGGATCCGTGGGTCTGGCGCGTGGGCGCCAGATCCACAGATCGAGGAACGTACCCCCCGAAGTGCCGCTTCATTTGGCGACGGAGCTCGCTGATGTTGCATGGGAGCGGAGCCCGCTGTTAATCCACGCGCCCTGATTCATGTTTGCGTTTCCCGGGGCCTTCCTGCTCCTGTCGTTTTCTTCTTCTTCTTCGTCTTCTTCTTCCCGACGGCACCGAAGCACGACAGCCGCAGCGAGGCTCTGAATCGAAAAGCGGAGGAGGAGAGGAGGAAGAGGAGGAGGAGGAGGAAGTGGAGGAGGAGGAAATGGAGGAGGAAGTGGAGGAGGAATAGGAAGGGGAAAAAGAGGGAGAGGAGGTGGCGGAGACATACGATATGGGTACTGCGAGAATTGGTCGTTGCCGCGTCCTGCTCCCTCCTCTTCCCCTTCTCCTGGACCCGCTCCCGCTGCCCCGCGCAAGCGGTGCCATCTGGGAACTTCTCGCAGAGTCGCTCGATCGCCTGCGTGCACCGGGCGGGGGGAGGTCGCCTCGCCCAAGAGATTATTGGCCTCGGTAATTAGTCGTCGTCGCACCCTCCTTCTCTCTCATACTCCTCCTTCCCCCCTCCTCTCCCTCCTCCTCCTCCTGTTTTTCTCCTCCTTCTCCTCCTCCTTCTCAAAATCGTCGTTGCCCCCTCCCGTCATTTCCCCTTCCACCTCCTTATCCTTCCGCCCTTCTCCCCATCCTTCATTCCTCCCTCCTCGTTCGCTTCGTCTTTGTCAACAACCTACCCCTTCCGAATTCCCCCCAACATTCCCCCATCGCGCTCCCACCCCAGCCCTTCTTCTTCTTCTTCGTCCCCAGAGGTCGTCGGAGGGGTGGCGGTGGTGGGGCAAGACTAGGATGAGGAGGAGGAGGAGATCGATGATGAAGGCAGAGTCTCTTACAATCGGACCTAGGACAGACGAGCATCCTCCAAGACCGTGGCGCTCTCCGCAGGCCAGCCCATCCCAAGCCCCAAGATCACTCGAAGGTAACCCCCCCCTACGGCATGCACAGTACCATCCAGCAAGCACGAAGAACATCAGGGTACCCCCCCGTCCGAACCGAACCTCTTCGGGGATTCTCACTGGATGTTCTATCATGCCCTTGCGTAGAACGGCTCGGACGTGCCTGACGGTTCTCCGAACTGCTGGGTGTCTGACGGGCGGTCCAGAGGGAAGGGGAGAACGCGAGATGGGGGAGACGGCCTGAGATGGGACGGGGCGTGGAGCGGAAACGGACAGCGCTAGTGAGGCAAGGTTGAAGGGGGAGAGGGTCGGGGACCGTGAAACAGGGGATGGACGGCGAAGCGGGAGGAGCGGGAGGAGCGGGAGGGATGAGCGAAGAGGAAAAGAGGAAATAGAGAGAACTGGGGACGGAAACCGGAAGAAGAATGAGTGGGGGGGACCCGTCTTCCCTGAGGCTGACGGCATCACGGCAAAGCGAGAACAGCGGCAAGCAGCCAACAAAGCCCTCCACCCCTCCACCCCCCGATCGCACTCGCTCCTCCTTCCTCCCTGCTCTTCTCCCCTCCGCCTCTCATTCCCCATCGGCATCCTGCTCCTCTGTCGCTTGAAGCCAGCGCCGCTCTGCTGGAGAGTCTCCAGGACCATCTCCCAGAGGGGCGGGGGAAAAGGACCTCCTCCGCAAAATCGGGCCTGTACCCCTCCACGACTGCGTCTGGACCACGACCTCGCGAAGAAGCAAAGCCAAGGCGACGATCATCTCCCCAGAGGCCCGAGAGGCAACAGCCAACGGCCCAGAGATCCTAGATCCTCGATCCTGAGAGGGCGGGTGTGGACATCGCATCCCAGGCCTCCCCTTGGCAAGGCCAGGGCTCTACCCTCCTCCTCGTCCTCCTCGTCCTCTGCCCTCCTCGCCCCCTGGTCCTCCTGTCGTGCCAGCTCCTTCCCCCTGGCCCTCGAGGATTGGCGAGAGAGGGCCTTGTGCGCGCTTGGCTCTTCTTGTGGCTTATTTGGGCTTCTGGAGGCCTCCGCGGGCCTCCATGGGCATCCATGGACGTCCGTCGGAGCAGGGCGAATTGAGACAACGGCAACTCAAAATCCCCAAACCCCTCCCGGGGTTCAAACGCAACAGATTTCCGAGCTGCGTCCAGCCGTGGCAACGAGGGCCCCCCCGAAGGAAAACTATCTCAATTCGCCCTGCTCTGAGTCCGGGGATCAGGCGAGGGAAGGCTCAAACTTAATTACTGTTCGACCAATGCCGTCCACCCTCCTCGTCGTCAATCCCCGCCTCGATGGGCGAGCCCTGCGGTGGTTCATGCCGTTCTGGAGGTGGCGGCTGCTGTCGCTCGGGTGACCTCCAGCCGGGGGGCTGCAATGTCGACAACTGACAGAGAACCGCATTCGAACACGTCTCGCTAATCATGGCATGGATCAAGACCTGCGATTGATCAAGACAAACTGCGCACACGTGCGGCGTGCTGGCGAGAAGTATCTCCCCGGCCAGCATTTGCCTGAAGGGCGCGGCTGCATCGTGTGTTTAAGACAAGACCCGTGGGACCTCGGGAGTCGCCCATGGCTCTCATCCTCTAGAGGACTTACGTGCGGAGTCGCTGGGGGGCTGGCTTCTCTGCTCCTGAACGTCGCTGGGGCGATTCACGACTCAAACATCGCAACACAAGATGGCACAGCATGGCATACGGCATGCACAACCTGGCAAAGTACGGACAACCATCGTGCATCATGACGTAGCATGCACGGTGAGGCAGCCAACGCATAGCAAAGCGCTGCTGAGCAATCTGCATCATGGCATCGATCACAATTCCTAACATGCCTTCGAATTTGATGTAGCCTCTCCTGGCTGTTTCTACCACGTTGCGGTGAAACTGCGCTTGGGCAAGTCCACCAGCACTCTGGGCGTAGGTGATTGAGCGAATTGATTATTCACCCCTCACTACCCCTCCCCACCTACCCTACCCCTGCCTCCAAGGACTTGTGCAGAATGTTTCTTCCTTTCAACTCAGTGGCGCGCGAGTGTGATTCGTTGCAGTCTTCGAAATTTCAGCGATGTTCACTTCGGTGTCCTGTCGATGACTTCGCGGGCCGTTTTGGATCGAATCACATTCCAGGGTCAGTCGACGGGTATATCATCAGAGTTCGCTTTGCTGCGTTATTGGTGGTTCGCAGATTGCTCCTGGATTGGAATCATCGCTTTCAGGGTACCCATCTGCAGGCGGGAGGAGCTGAGGAGCATGATCACCATTGTTCATTTGGCTGTCACATTTGTACAAGAGGGTGAAGGTTCTCTTCCGTATCGTGACATTCTGGCAGTGGAGACACCATATTCACCTTATTCGGATTCTTGGCAGTCTCGGTGCTCGGGGAACTTTTGGACGGAACTGGTATGTTATTGGATGTCGATTCTGCTTCGCAACTGTTCCGATTCCGATTCCGAATCCTCCTCTCGGGCACACACAACCGCATATTCCGGATCCGCGAATTGGAGAAAGCCCCCCTGGGGCATGGAGCCAGTGCCGCCTGATTTGGTGACGAAGCGAGTCGATGTTGCATGGAAGCGGGACCAGTCGCAAATTCACGCGCCTTCATCCATGTTTCCGTTTCCTGGACCCTCCTCCTTCTCCTCCCTCTCGTTCTCCTTCTCCTCCTCCTCCTCCTTCTCCTCCCACTTGCGCCCACTACCTTCATTACCTCCCGCCCTTCCCCGGACTGTCCCCCCATCTGGGCGTAGGTGGTAGAGCGAGCTTACTGGTCCAATTCCCTTTCCCTCTGGGGCGGGAACTACCCCTCCCTTACCCTGCCCCTGCCCCCTTACCCCGGGTGAGGACGAAGGGGATGGGGGGGGGCTCGAGGGGTTAGAGCGTTCAACATGGCCCAATAATGCCTCAGATATCTCCGGATGATCTCCCCATTCCCTGTGATCCGAAGATGCGAACAAAAACGCAACATCGTGAAAATTCACGACCCAAAACCCCGACCCCATCTTTCTGAGGAATTTTGCGAGCCGTATCGGTCCGTGAGGGTCCCAGGGCCTGGCACGACGCGAAGACGCCAGACTCGACAAACAAATGCGACGCCAAGATCTCAGCGGCCCCCCTCCTCGCCGCCGCCGCCATTCGGCCCCCAGCGGCCGGACGCGGCGCCTGTGGCGGCGCTCCGACCTGAGCGTGCGCGCGGAGGCGTCGTCGTCGTCGTCGTCGTCGTCGTCGTCGCCGCCGCCGCCGCCGCCGCCGCCGCCGCCGCCGCCGCCGCCGCCGCCGCCGCCGCCGCCGCCGTCGTCGTCGTCGTCGTCGTCGTCGTCGTCGTCGTCGTCGTCGTCGTCGTCGTCGTCGTCGTCGTCGTCGTCGTCGTCGTCGTCGTCGTCGTACCTGGTACAATCGGACCTGGCACATAAGAACATCATCCAAGAACTTGAGACCCCCGCCGGCCAAGTTGGAGAGCATTCGAGGGTGCCCTCCGCAAGGATGCACAACAACACCAAACGGAAACGAAGAGCATTAGAGTACCCTCCCCGAACCGACCTCGATCTTATACCTCGGTCCGACCGTACAAAGTGTCCGTCGCTACTTTTTCACAGCCCCAGGGAGTCTGGGCCCCTTCCTACCTTAGAGGCCTCCCAAATGGGGTCCGAGTGTGGGCACGTCGGCGATGCATCCGCGACGTCGGCGTGGAGAAAATCGGGCCTCACATTGTGCCGCATCATCAATGTACTTGCGATGCGGCGCGATCCTTCGATCCCCTTTCGTGGGTTGCGTAGTTGGGGGGCGACAAACGGAGGGGGGGGGGCCCAAACGGAGTTTTCTGGCCCCTGGGGCCACACAGGGGCACCTTATTTCATGGCTCGAGCTGAACAGCGTTTCTTGTTTTTGTTTTGTTTTCGGTTTCCTTCGTTCTGTGTTCGCTCCGCCTTTGCGGCGGAACGACAATAGAACGGAAACGGTCCACGACATCGCCACAACGCTGTTTGGCTCGATCCCTGCCCTTCTTCGCCTCCCAATTCCCCCTCCCTTTCGACACGACGCTCGACCTCTCCTGCTCGAGCTCCAATCGGGGGCGGCCTTGAGGGGAACGTCCAAGAGGGGGGGCGCACATCATGGCCAGCGGCACTTGCGCGGCCCAGGGGGGGGGGCTAGGGAACGCATTGAAATAAGAAGAGCGGCCATACAATCTGGGAAGATATCGTGGCCCCCGCCATGATATCCACCCTTCCCTGGTCCTCACCACCCCTTGGCCGCCCCCGACCTTCCTGCTCGAGCTCCATCCGGGAGGCCTGGGTCCCTCCTCCCACCAGCGGGCGCGCGCGCGCGGCCCTGCCTCGAGCGCGCGCGGCCCCGCTCGTGGCCGCCGCCCTTGCCGCGCGGGGGCGAGCGGTCGCCGGCCTTGCCGCCCTTGCCGCTCTTGCCGCGCGGGGGCGAACGATCGTGGCCGCCTTTGCCTCCGGGGCTGCCCAGGGGGGGCGGGGGACAAAACGCAGGAAGGGAAACAAGGGGGCGGGGAGGGGGAGGAAGGGCGGTTTCGAGGGGCCAGGCCGTCCCGCAATGCTATCGCAAGACGACGGGGCGCCCCTCGGGGAAAGGGGATGAGGGGGGAGGCGCGTCAGGGACGTGGGTGCGGTGGGCGGTGGGCGGGAGCGGGAAGGATGAGTGGGTGGGCGAAGGCGTGCGTGCCTACGCCCGCTATCTTGAAAAATGCACCGAGGACGTGCGCTGGAGAGGTGCTTTCGCACCCCTCAGAGTGGCACCGGCACTTGCGAAGATTGTAACTGGCCGTTCCGATCTCGTGCGCCGCTGCAAACGCAAACCTGGCGCCTCTGCTGAAAGGCGCCCCGATGCCCGCTGCTCCTCGCTGAATGCCGAAACATCGAAGACAGCGGGCGAGCCCTCGCTGGCTTGGCACAGCACAGGCGCATACCCCAAACATCATGAGCATCGCCACGTCCCTTCTGACTGACGCGGCCGCCGCGCCAGAGAGGCTCGCCCCGACCACTCTGGATCGGAGGGCGTGCTGTGCGCATCGCTTGACTCTTGGGGGCGCCGCGGGCGCTTCTTCGCGACGCCCAATCGCGCGCGCTTCATGGAGCGCTCGCCGAAGGCAGCCTTCGACGCCGACGACGGTTCGGACGCGGTGTGCCAGGGCCCGCAACAATGCGAGAAAGTGCCGCTCACGCGGAACAACGCACTGGTCATCTGGAGGTCCTCTGCGCCAATGGCAAGGGAGAGCCCCGCCCCGGGACACGCGTCGCACTGCGGAATGCCCAGCACTGAACCGACAGGGGGCGGCTGCCAAGCGCCGCGTTCAGGCGCGCTCTCGCGGCGAAGCGCCTGCGCTCGGGCGGGCGCGCCGTCGACGGCTCGCCGAAGCCCTTCAATGGACGCGGCCAATTGGTTTGCGCGCGACATAGCACGCTCGACGACGGCCTCGACAGTCACGAGCTCGCCGCAGGACCCCCTTGCAGGTCACCGGGGCGCGGCGGCGCGCCATTTGCTCCGGCGCCGTCGCCCCTGCCGCGCCCCCAGGGCCGGCGGCCACTCTGGTGGATGCCGACGGGCGGAGAGCTGGGAGGAAGGCGCGGCTCCGGGCGATCCTGCCGCCCTGTCTGCCCCGCCAAGGCTCGGGCGACCGGCGGGCGCGAGGGCGGCGACGCTTCCGCTTCGTTGCGACTCTTGCGCCGACCGAAAGAGAGGCCCTCGATAGCTGGCGCGCCCTGCTGTATTCTCGCTTCGCAGATGGCCCTGCGCGCGGTCGCAACGCGCGGCGGTCAACGCCCGTTGGGTGCGCTGCCCGGTCGCGATGTCGCCGCTGAGCGGCGGCAGCTGAGGTCAACTGAAACCGGCGCCAGCTATTGCCGCGTGCCCCCAGTGACGCGCATCCTGCGATTTCAGGTGCGCGACAAGCATGGTCTCGAGGGCGATCGGTCGCCGGCGCGAATCGCGCGCGCGTGGCCACGGGGCGGAAACCGTCGCGTCCGACATCTCGCCGCGCGTCTCTGCGTGGCCGCGCGCGGGAACGCGCGCCGCGCGTGTCGCGCGGGCGCTCGGCCGCGGCGGTCGGCGCGCTCAGCGCGCCCTTGCGAGCGAGGCCCGCCGCGCCACTTCCAGCGATGGTTCCACATTGGACTTGGGCGCGCCCGAGCGGCGCAACCCTCCGCGGCCCACCCGCGACGGCGGATCCGCGACGTTCGCTGCCGAGGGCGCCCGACGGACCCGCGTGGGCGCCGAGTGCTCGGCAGTCGAGCGCCAGACGGACGCGGTCAACGCGGCGCGCGGGGCCTCGCGCCGCCGCCCGCTCGGCCCCGCGGTTCTGCGCGCGACAATAGATGCTCGAAAAACGACGTGGCCGCGGCAATGGCGAACAACTCCAGGCTCGTAATCTGATAGTCGCCGCGCTGCCCGAAGGGCCGCAGCGCCGCGGAGTCGGGCGCCCAACGTGCGCAGCGCGCGCGGCCGTGCGCGAATTGCGCGGCTGCCTCTCGCAGAGGGGCGATGCGCGCGT